TTACAAACTAGCTCTAACAATGATAGATGGTAAAGTTTGTAACGCAATCACTAGTACTTCAATTATTCAACGTTGTTATTTATGTCAAGCAACATCAAAAGAATTTAATGATATCGATGCAATCTTACAAAAAGAAGTCAACGAAGATAATTTACAGTTTGGATTGTCTACGCTACATGCATGGATACGATTTTTTGAGTGTTGTTTACATATATCTTACAAACTGGACATAAAAAAGTGGCAAGCGCGCAGCATTGAAGAAAAGGAAAAAACAGAGACTCGAAAAAAAAATATACAAAAAGGTTTTCGTTTACAATTAGGACTTATTGTCGATAAACCAAAGCCTGGATTTGGCAGCACGAATGATGGAAACACTGCTCGGCGATTTTTCGAAAATTCGACTATTTCTGTCTCTATAACAGGAGTAGATGAAAATTTAATCAAACGATTTCATGTTATATTGCAGGCAATTTCGAGTGGCCATAAAATTCATTTCATTAAATTTCAAGAATATACCTTAGAAACAGCTCGAAAATTCGTAGAATTATATCCTTGGTTTTTTTATGCCAACTACAGTGCACAAGCTCTTAATTCATGGTACACAAATAATAGCTTTCTCACTATTGCCGATCGGACAAATGTCTGAAGATACCCAAGAGTCTTGCAATAAATATATTAAAAAGTTTCGAGAAGACTTCTCGCGAAAATGTAGTCGTACGAAAACCATGGAAGATGTTTTTTTACGGTTGTTGGTGGTATCAGATCCATTTATTTCAAGCTTAAGAAAATTACCTCAAAAGAAATTAAAATCATTGTCACCAGAAGCAGTGCAGTTATTAATTCCGCCACCAATTAAGGTAAAAACTGATGACTCCGACATTTCCACAGCAGAATCAACTGATTATGATACAGAAGACTTATCAGATTAGTCTAATTTGTATTTACTTTGGATTTTGTACTATGTATTTGTGAAAATATATTTTAATTAAATGCAGATTTATTTCTTACTTTTTATTTTTTATTTTACTTCTTCGAATAAATTTCTAAATGTTTCATGTTCAATGAATAACTAAAAACTAAAATTTTTTTAACAAATTTGTTAAAATATTTAATTTTATTGCATTCTCAATATTTATTTTTTTAGTTTTCTTCCCAATTTGTAATTAACAATTATTTAAAAAATAATATATAAGTTTTAGCTTAAACCAAATATTTTTTCTACATACGTCTGTCATATTGGGACGGCCATTTTGTTTTTTGTAATTTTGACTTCGGATTCATAATCAGCGACCTCAAAAACCCCAAGGTACCAAGTTTTGTACAAATTGAAACACGTTTTCGACTTTTGGCCAGCTTTTCGGGATTTGAGACCACTGTGGCATCTCGTCGCGCGGGAAACGACTCGCATGACAACGAGTTTTTGTCTATCATCGAGGAGCTTCGCGAGGCGGGAGTGATTATAAATTGAACCGTTGCTCGGCGAACGTCGACAGTTCCCGTTTTGCGCGCGCGCGATGAGTGTAAACAAATTCGGTTCGTCGTTGCATCGTCGCGGGTACGTTAACAACGGCGATCAATCACGTTTTCAAATAACGAATTTGCGCAAACAACGTGCGCGACAACGCTCTCTGTTTATCCACGACGTCATTGTCACCTGAATACGATGTGAAGGAGCGCGCGATAACTTGTTTGATGAAACCGCGAAACAATTCCGACGCCGCGACCAAGATCTACGTAGACACAGGTCTCGCGCGAGCGTTCGACGCCGCGGATTAGTCCAGTCAATAGGGAAAAAATGATGCAAAAATGTTTAACCGATTTCTGAGTACATTATCGTTTAGTGTGCGCTTCACTGATAGACCCCTACTATCATGTATCTAAAATTTTGTCCCGGAACTTGTTACAAATGATGGTTAAAA